CAGCAGAAGGCCAATTAGTGATGGTCATGTACACGTGAACTTGTCGTTTTCGAGATGGTCAGCCTTTCCCGAGCAGCGCCCACTCCCCAGCAGTTATAGCGTCCCTCTGTAATAATAATGCATGTAGATGTACCGAGCAGATCTCACGATTTTTGGGACCACTTTTTGGGCAAAGGTGCCGAAACTGCCGTTTTTTCGTCGCCAGTTGTTGTTCGATAGCCTAAATTTGAGCCAGAGCCTCTAGCACGTTAAGGATTCCCAGCGAAGTGGGTCCTAACGAGTCGCTAGGAGGACGGGGTAGTATTTGCCTCCGAGGGGAATGTTTTCGGTTCTTGACTTTTCTCAAAAAACCGAGAAAGGTGAGAGAATCCAGGAACTTTGTAGGGAGGGGGAGGGGACTAACAGGAGGAGGAAATTTCGAGGTGGGTCGTGACGTGCACAGTTTTCCCCAACGGCAGTACCTGCTCTGATCTGACCATGAGCAGTAATTCAGTTTAGGAAGAAAAACTGCTAATACAGTCGGTACAGTAGAGTGGACAACACTCTTCAAAATGGTATTTACTTTTGGCCTAACCACAGCAAGCCATTGCAAAAAATAAGCGAACAAAAACCGGGGGTAATTTATTACCCTCTCTTATTTCACAAAAACAAGTAAAGCAAATCCAATTCAAAACACACCGTCCATTGCATTGAACTGTGATTCCAGGAATGATCGTTCTTCTTCGTTCAATTCCAGAGCTGCACCATCTTCACCAATGATTACACCGCTATCGACATGTGGAACAGTCCGGGAAGAAGATGATGGAACCGCTTCGGAATTTCCGCTTGTACGAGTATTCACTCCCCAAGCGTTTCTCCGCATTTCAACCACACTCATGATTTGGGTTTTGACCATTCTGTAACAAATTAATGGACCTTCACTCTACCAGTCAGTCAAGTCACCCAATAAAGCTTACTCGCTAAGCTGTGGATGCCCTTTCGCAAACGCTATCATCTTCGTTAGGAGTTGGTTCATCTGCGGCTCCGTCACGTTTGATGAATCCAAATGCCGCCCACACAACTACAAATATTAGTTGGAATGCACATATAGAAATGGAAAGTGAAAAAGTTGATCAATGAAATTG